ACAACGACGGGGAGAGGCATTTTTGTTTGAATTCGGTAAAAAACCCCACAAATTCCCAATACTTTGAGAGCCGCAATAGCACGTGAATACGGGACGGTGGCCCTTCATAACAATATACTAAAACGTCTTGACGAAGAAGTCCTTAAAGAACCCGCATGCGGCTCAGAACCCGCAGGTTACGGACTCCTGCTCATGGTGAACTGGACTTCCATGGTGAACTGGAATTCCATGGTGAACTGGACTTCCATGGTGAACTGGAATTCCATGGTGAACTGAACTTTCATGGTAAACTGGAATTCCATGGTGAACTGTATTCCATGGTGAACTAAAATTCCATGGTGAACTGGACTTCCATGGTGAACTGGAATTCCATGGTGAACTGGAATTCCATGATGAACTGGACTTCCATGGTAAACTGGAATTCCATGGTGAACTGGATTCCATGGTGAACTGGACTTCCATGGTGAACTGGAATTCCATGGTGAACTGGACTTCCATGGTGAACTGGAATTCCATGGTGAACTGAACTTTCATGGTAAACTGGAATTCCATGGTGAACTGGATTCCATGGTGAACTAAAATTCCATGGTGAACTGGACTTCCATGGTGAACGGGACTTCCATGGTGAACTGGAATTCCATGGTAAACTGGACTTCCATGGTAAACTGGAATTCCATGGTGAACTGGATTCCATGGTGAACTGGACTTCCATGGTGAACTAGAATTCTATGGTGAACTAAAATTCCATGGTAAACTGGACTTCCATGGTAAACTGGATTTCCATGGTGATCTGGTTCTTCCATAGTAAACAAGACTTCCATGGTAAACTGGACTGTCATGGTGAACTGGACTTCTATGGTAAACTGGACTTCAATGGTGAACTGGACTTCAATGATCAGCGGTCGGAAACCAAAATAACAAGGTTTTTTTTTCTTGAGAATGTTGAGAGTCGCACTGCAGTCGTTAAAGAGCCGCATTCGGAGCCGCGGGTTGCCGATCCCCTGGGGGTGTCGTCATCCCCACCCATGACGCACGACGGTTTTTGTTGCTCCAGGAGGGCCACGCCGAGTCGTCGTTTTGTTCAGGATGGTCCTGTCGCTGCTGCAACGTTGGGGTTTTTTAACTTTAAGATGCTTTCGGCCAATCAATGGTGAGTTTGCGTTTATTATTGAGGCACGTGGGAAGGAAGTTTCAAGCTTAATTTATTAGGTATAGCCCTGTGAACCATGCGGCTCTTCAGTCGGGTGCAAATCGGAAGAGCCGGAGAAACACCACGCCTTGCGCGAGGGTGAAACACTCTATGCCTGTACGGGCAGAAACAGATGGAGATTAGTCCACACTCGCTGTACCGCTTTCACAGTTGGGTCGCTGGCTGGGTGGCTGGCTGGCCGGGTGGGTGACTGGGTGGATGGCTGCGTGGTTGGCTGGGTTCGTGCTGGCTGGCTGAGGGGATGGCTGGTTGGCTGGCTAGGTGGTTGGGTGGATAGCTGGGTGGGGTGCATGGCTGGCTGGGGAGTCTGGATGACTGGGTGGCTGGCTGGTTGGGTGGGTGAATGGGTGGCTGGCTGGGTGGCTAAGTAGGTGGGTAACTTCCTGGGTGGCTGGCCAATTCACTAACTCTCAGACGGGAGAAATGTACTTTCCTGAAGCGCTTGCAAATAAATCACACGCCTCTGTCCGTCCCAGCCAGTGCCTTCACCAGCCTGTGGTGGGAGCGGGGTTAGCGAGCCACAGCGATGTTGCCCGGCCGGTTGTGTCGGCTCACGGTCGCAAATCGTGGTGAACGGGCAAGGCGGCGCATGCCTGGCTCGACGGAGAACTCTCATCACGACACCTTGGGCGAGTCGCACAGTCAGTCCCCACGTGGGTGGCACCCAGCCAAATAAATGACGTTCCACGTTACGATGGCGGAGGCCAAGTCTGCTCGCAGCCGGTCTTGCTCCCAGATGTTCACTACCTTTGCCTGGTATACAGAACGTCGTGGATTCGATCCCGACGCCTGCTGCTGTATATTCGGAGCTTGCGCGTCTTTCTCCACGTGGTCGCGTGGATTTTTCTCCGGACCCTCCTCTGGGGTTTTCCCCCTCCACGTTCAGAATGAACATCACGCGTTTAGAGTATTTGGCTGCGATCAATGTCCACGCGACAAGCCACGTCGTAGGCTCGCTTCTGAAAAAGCGGTGCCTAGCTCAGTGGCCGCCTTACCTGGTAACATTTTTTTAAAAATAGCTGAAAGTTTATAGATTTTAGCAAGCATGACCAATGGGGGCTGCCACTGCTGAAGATGCGACACCCAGGACAAAACGTAGATCTCACAACACGGGGGGGGGGTGGGGGGGGGGGTGGGGGACGAGATGCCGTTGACGCGTCGTGTCGAGTCCCGGCGTCCGCCCTGATTAATATCGCTTGGGGTGCAGGTCACCGTGAAGCACCACGCGCCATCACACGGCCATCGCATGACCTGCCATCCAGAGGTCACCGGTTCAACTCCACATCCCGATGCGGCAGCTGCTTCAATGGGGTAAATTTCTTAAACCGAGCGGTGTCAATGGGCACACCGGCGGTTAAATTAACCGGCAGATTGTGATGGGGTCAAGTCCGTTCAGCTTGGAAGGAGGCCAAATACCCTCCCCGGGGGCTCTCCAGAGCCCCCTGTGGCAGGAGGCCCTCCGTCCCATCCCTTCATGCAGCGGTGGTGTACACAGGCACCCGCAGGGGCTGCGCCTCTTACCACCAAACATGTGTAATGAGAGTAGAGTAAACCTACAGTGTGAATGGACTAGTGGCCACGAGAGGTAATGACAGGGGAGTCAGCCTGCAGTGCGAATGGACTAGTGGCCACGGGAGGTAATGACAGGGGAGTCAGCCTGCAGTGCGAATGGACTAGTGGCCACGGGAGGTAATGACAGGGGAGTCAGCCTGCAGTACGAATGGACTAGTGGCCACGGGAGGTAATGACAGGGGAGTCAGCCTGCAGTGCAAATGGACTAGTGGCCACAGGAGGTAATGACAGGGGAGTCAGCCTGCAGTGCGAATGGACTAGTGGCCACGGGATTTAATGACAGGGGAGTCAGCCTGCAGTGCGAATGGACTAGTGGCCACGGGAGGTAATGACAGGGGAGTCAGCCTGCAGTGCGAATGGACTAGTGGTCACCGGAGGTAATGACAGGGGAGTCAGCCTGCAGTGTGAATGGACTAGTGGCCACGGGAGTTAATGACAGCGGAGTCAGCCTGCAGTACGAATGGACTAGTGGCCAGGAGAGGTAATGACAGGGGAGTCAGCCTGCAGTGCGAATGGACTAGTGGCCACGGGAGGTAATGACAGGGAAGTCAGCCTGCAGTACGAATGGACTAGTGGCCACGGGAGGTAATGATGGGGGAGTCAGCCTGCAGTGCGAATGGACTAGTGGCCACAGGAGGTAATGACAGGGGAGTCCGCCTGCAGTGCGAATGGACTAGTGGTCACCGGAGGTAATGACAGGGGAGTCAGCCTGCAGTGCGAATGGACTAGTGGCCACGGGAGTTAATGACAGCGGAGTCAGCCTGCAGTACGAATGGACTAGTGGCCAGGAGAGGTAATGACAGGGGAGTCAGCCTGCAGTGCGAATGGACTAGTGGCCAGGAGAGGAAATGACAGGGGAGTCAGCCTGCAGTGTGAATGGACTAATGGCCACAGGAGGTAATGACAGGGGAGTCAGCCTGCAGTAGGAATGGACTAATGGCCACGGGAGGTAATGACAGGGGAGTCAGCCTGCAGTGCGAATGGACTAGTGGCCACGGGAGGTAATGACAGGGAAGTCAGCCTGCAGTACGAATGGACTAGTGGCCACGGGAGGTAATGACGGGGGAGTCAGCCTGCAGTGCGAATGGACTAGTGGCCACAGGAGGTAATGACAGGGGAGTCCGCCTGCAGTGCGAATGGACTAGTGGCCACGGGATTGAATGACAGGGGAGTCAGCCTGCAGTGCGAATGGACTAGTGGCCACGGGAGATAATGGCAGGGGAGTCAGCCTGCAGTGCGAATGGACTAGTGGTCACCGGAGGGAATGACAGGAGAGTCAGCCTGCAGTGCGAATGGACTAGTGGCCACGGGAGTTAATGACAGCGGAGTCAGCCTGCAGTACGAGTGGACTGGTGGCCGCAGGAGGTAATGACAGTGGAGTTAGCCTGCAGTACGAGTGGACTGGTGGCCGCAGTAATGATGGAGAATAGGGGCGTGGCCAGGTGACAGAAGAGGATGGTGGAGTCTGCCGGTAAAGCGGTCTAGAACCAGCGAGAAGGTTTGGGAATGGGAGCGTGGCCTTGGACCGTATATAAGGGAAATGCGCGGGAGACTCGGGGCTGACGCGGTGGGGTCTTCGCCTGGTCGAGTGCGAGCACGTGGCACCTTCATAAAAGAAACCATCTCAAGACAAGTGCGTCGATGTCGTCATTACACTTGTAACAGTCAAACAGAGCGGACTCTGATTCAGTCGCCATTGCAGAATCTGAAGAAGAAAAATGCTGTTCATACAACAAAACGATAATTCTTCCCCATGATTATAAAAAAATACATATACATTGTAATAGGTGTGTAATGTATGTTGAACTTTCTTTCGCATGGTGCGTTTCCAACCGTGAAAATCGGAGGTGCCGGGGGAAGGACAACAAACTTAACACCAAAAAAAGCAGCTCTAAAGAAATGAGTTTAGAATCCAGATGATTTAAAAGTTGCACAGCTCCCCAAGCGGCTTCCTAATGTCGGAAGGAAGAAGCGTTCCAGACGGCCGCAGAAGCGCTTCTGAAAACGCCGGGGCGATGCGGCGACCGCTGTCTTTGTTCGACGGCTGAGCGAAAATCCGCTGCTGCTGCTGCAAGGATGACCGGAGAGCACGTGGTGATGGTTTATGATCCTTGACGAGATCGGCAAGGTGGGGCGGGCGGGGGGAAGAGGACAGCAATCTAAACGCAAGTTGCATACGCGTGTGTGCAAGCTGCATACATGTGACAAACAAAACCTATAGGGGTGTGCATACATGTATTTATTCGTTCAAAGGAAGAGTGATAAAGTTATTCGAATATAAAAAAAAAATTGTCGATCGACTCTCGCGTTCACCCCTCCCAAAGTGTTTGATAATTTACACCGCTCGCCCGGCCGTGTTGCAGAATGTTTCAAACCGCGGACCCAGCGTTCGTCTTCACTGAAGCAACAGCACCGAACACATCAGCTGTCAGACGACGGTCAAACAAATGAATCCTGGGGGAGGTACTGGGAACGGCGGCGGGGGGGGGGGGGGCAAAACAAATTAAGACCCCCCAAACCCAGGCATCGCGCAAACAAGTTTAACTTTAACACAAAACCAAAACATACAAGTTGTTTACCTGAAGATAAAACCCCTACAAAAGTGATCCAACACCACAGAGCGATATATATTATATATACATACATATAATATATATACATCGACTCGGTTATAATATATTATAATATATTATATTATACATGGAGTCGATATATATCGAGTGGAGCGATATATGCGAGATTTATACCAAACTCACAGCTCAGGACGTGCCAGGCTGTGCTTCCCCCCCCCCGCTGCAGACGCCGTGCCCACGAGCGAGCGGGGACGCTCGCTCGTGCTCGCGTTTAGGAGGCACGCGCGAGCACGAGCGACTGGACAACGTTGAACGTTGTTGAACACGTCGCTAGCGCCCCCGCTAGACCCTTAAGCCAGATGTGTTTCGAGGCCTGCATCGAACCACGGGTCAGGTTCCGGCTCAGCACGGCGAACAGCAGCTGTGGAAAAACCACTCCGTGCCGAGGGGGGGGGGGGGGGTTGCGCTGGCTCGGCTCGGATGCGCGGTAGAAATGCGGAGTTAAAAGAGCGATCGTCACATTTGCTAAGAGTAGTTAAAACGCGAGTGGCTCTGTCTTTCTGTTGGAACGGCTCAGCATAGCTGGGGGGACCCAGGCCATTTAGGGGTGCCGCGGTGTTGAAATGTTAACTACCTCGCCTGGTTTACAGGAGGTCGTGGGTTCGATCTTGACCCTACCCTCATTGCCTGCTGTGTCTTTGGAGTTTGCGTGTCTCTCTCCCCGTGGTCGAGTGGATTTTTCTGCGGGTCCTCCGGTTTTTCCCTCCACATTCATTAAAAAAAAACGCGTTTAGAGTAATTGATTGCTATAAATTTCCACGTGATAAGCCACTTCGTTGAGCTATCATTAGTGGCCAGGGTAGCTTCTGAAAAAGAGCTGTATAGCTCAGTGGGCCTTACCTGGCCAAATACAAAGTTTAGTTTATTTTGCGGCAGCAAGGTAACTCCCACTATTCCAATGCACCGGGTCTTACCGTTAATAGGGGATCATCAGCAGGGTATCATTATTTGTTTTCCCGCCTGCTATAGCACAACGTCAAGTGCTGGAATAGAATCAGACGGGGGGGGAGGGGGGCGGGGAGGGTTAAAATAAAAGTGCGAAGTTGCATTGGAATAGCGACAGTGGGGAGTTGCTCGGAAGGAAGGAAGCAAACGTGACCTATGGTGTTTTCCTCTTTAGGGCAGTGTTATTGATAAAAGTGTCATTCACGTTTTATGGAACATATTTTCTCGACGGTCAGCGGTAGGCTAACGGGAAAGGAGGAACGTGCTATCAAATCGCGTGAACCTGTGTTCAAGAACCCATCCGTGGGGGGCGGGGGGGGGGTTTGCGCCCTCCACTGAAAATGCAGGAGCCCGCCACTGCGCGCGCGCGACCTCGCAGCGAAAAATGTAAATCGGTGAAAAATCACAAGTAACAAAAAAACATTCCCAACGCAGAGAAAAGCCGCCGCTAATCGAACCAAGCGCGCGACTTCGGCGTGAACGGTCACAGAGTCAACGTCGTCACTTTTTAACCGCCGCGTCCACATAAACCGCAAACGAGAGAACCGCCGGGCCCGACGGGACGACCGAACGCGGACCCGGGGGACGAGTTTCTGCCGTCTCGGAGACGGCGGTGGCGCCGCCGCATTCCGTGCGACCAACTGTGTGTGCGGGTTAAGGCTCCGAAGAACCGCACTGCGCGCGCGGTTCCCATCGGCTCAATATCGGCGAACGCCTCCTCCTTCACCACCCCGTCACAGGAGGCAATGAAATGGGTCGTGACCAGGGCTTAATTTTAACCGGTTTTGCCACACCAAAGGCCACAGCACATCCAGTATAACGTCTCAATACAGCTGTGGCTACTACTTAGGGCAGCAGCACCACGTGCCACCCACTCCAGATCTACCTACCAGGGGGACCCGGAAAACATTTCCCGCTCCCGTCACACCGCACGTCAAGTCTTACGCCTGACCTGGAGCGCGTCTCGTCGAGATGAGAAGCCGTGGCCCGGTGACGCAACCCGGCCGGGATATCCGAGCGTTCCTGCCGCTCGGAGGGAGAGGTTCTACGTGGCCACCGCAGGGGGCTCGGATTAGGGTTAGAGTCCTGGTTAGGGTCCAGGTTTAGAGGTCTGAGGTTTGGGCTGTTGTCCGGGTTTGTGGGGGTTTAACGGGAGCCAGTGCCTGGGGGTTGGCATCTGGGTCTCGGTTAAGGGAAGATTTTGGCTTGGGGATTAGGGTTGGGTTAAGGGGATTAAATTTTGGGTCTGGGCTAGGACTGGGTTTGATTTAGGGTTGGAGTCTGGGTTAGGGGCCTGGGCTTTAGTTAGTGTCTGGCTTTCGGGTAATGGTTTATGTTACGTGTCCGGGTCAGGGTTAGATTTCTGGTTCAGGGATTAGGGTTAGAGGAGGGATTTGGGCTTAATGGTTGAAGTTTGGGATTGTGTTAAGGGTTAGTCTTGGAGTCAGAGTTTGTGTTAGGGGTCAGAGTTTGTGTTAGGGGTCAGGGTCTGGTTAGGGTTAGTGTTAGGGGTTAGGGTTAGTGTTCAGCGTCAGGGTGTGGTTAGTGTATTAGTGAGGGGTTCGGGTTAGTGTATGGGGTCAGGGTCTAGTTAGGGTTAGTGTTAGGGGTTAGTGTTAGGGGTCAAGGTCTGGTCAGGGTGTGTGTTAGGGGTCAGGGTCTGGCTAGGGTTTGTGTTAGGGGTCAGGGTTTGTGTTAGGGGTCAGGGTCTGGCTAGGGTTTGTGTTAGGGGTCAGGGTTTGTGTTAGGGGTCAAGCTTTGTATTAGGGGTCAGGGTTTGTTAGGGGTCAGGGTCTGGCTAGGGTTTGTGTTAGGGGTCAAGGTCTGGTTAGGGTTTGTGTTAGGGGTCAGGGTGTGTGTTAGGGGTCAGGGTTAGTGTTAGGAGTCAGGGTCTGGCTAGGGTTTGTGTTAGGGGTCAGGGTCTGGTTAGGGTTAGTGTTAGGGGTTAAGGTCTAGTTAGGGTTTGTTAGGGGTCAGGGTTAGTGTTAGGGGTCAGGGTCTGGCTAGGGTTTGTGTTAGGGGTCAGGGTCTGGCTAGGGTTTGTGTTAGGGGTCAGGGTCTGGTTAGGGTTAGGGGTCAAGGTTTGGTTAGGGTTTGTGTTAGGGGTCAGGGTTTGTGTTAGGGGTCAGGGTTTGTGTTAGGGGTCAGGGTTTGTGTTAGGGGTCAGGGTCTGGTTAGGGGTCAGGGTTTGTGTTAGGGGTCAGGGTTTGTGTTAGGGTTAGGGGTCAAGGTCTGGTCAGGGTTAGTGTTAGGGGTCAGGGTTTGTGTTAGGGGTCAGGGTTTGTGTTAGGGGTCAGGGTCTGGCTAGGGTTTGTGTTAGGGGTCAGGGTCTGGTTAGGGTTAGGGGTCAAGGTCTGGTTAGGGTTTGTGTTAGGGGTAAGGGTTTGTGTTAGGGGTCAGGGTTTGTGTTAGGGGTCAAGGTCTGGTTAGGGTTTGTGTTAGGGGTCAGGGTTTGTGTTAGGGGTGAGGGTCTGGTTAGGGTTTGTGTTAGGGGTCAGGGTCTGGCTAGGGTTTGTGTTAGGGGTCAGGGTTTGTGTTAGGGGTCAGGGTCTGGCTAGGGTTGGGTCACACCAAGGAGCCCGGCAGACCCAATGCGCGAGCTCACCGCAAATTGCACAGAGTCAAAACTTGGAAGCGTTCTTCACTCTCCGTACGCGAGGTGCACGCTGTCCGACCGGGGGCGGGGTGGTAACCCCCCACTCCCGCCACCCCCCCCCCCATCTCTCCGCTCTCGTTGGCTATCCCACACAAGCGGCCAAAGTCTAAAGCTCCCTAAAGTGTTTTGCCCTATGCAACACTGCACAGCGGGATACATTTTCTCTTATATACACATTCTATTTATAAAGCAACATGCAGGCACCTAGGAGGTGGATTTGTAGGTGGTCACCAACAACAGCTTCTTTCCAAAGTCTACAAGGCTAGTCGGAGACCTTGACGTTTGAGATATATTTATACTTCGCACGCACAATTACCGACGGATATAAACCAATTATATGCAATGTATACGGGTTATAATCACAGGTAAATGTATGTACATATGCGTGAATATCATAATACGTGTATTTATTGGATTTCACACACACACACGTGCGTGTGTGAATTCAATGCAGTGTGCTGTATTCTCCAGGTTATAAGACGCCCTGCAAAGTTAAGAAGCAACTAAATCTTGTGGCCGGTGTCAATAAAGTCACTCAAATCTGGTCAAAGACACAGATCACCTGTGTAGCCTTAACAGATTTTTGGGGCAAGTGCCGTGAGCGAGAACCAATGAAGGCCGGTACGGCACACGAGGGGGTGGGTGGCCAGCAGCACCACGCCCGGCCGCCTTTGTCTCCCTAGTGGCGATGTTTACGCACCGCATCCAGATACTCAATTGAGGCTGAGACGACCTTGGGGAGGCCCAGGGCCGGTTCAGATAATTGTCACCGATGTTGGTGGCCGTGAGCGGGAGTGGAACTCGGGGGGCGCCGGGTTCCTAGCACGGTGCACTAACTGCTGCGCTGGCACGCTCACACACAAGCAGCCATACACTTAACACACACACTAACACGCACTAACACGCACACGCACTAACACGCACACCCACGTGTGCCGCATTATAAAACGCACCCCCCCCCCCCAACTCTTGCTTTAACACACAGGGAGGAAAAGTGCACCCGGTGGAAATTTGGAGAATACGGCATACGCAAAGGTGCATTCCTATGAAAGTTTAGGAGCTACTCATGACAACAATAACAACAACCATATTAATATCGAGACGCTAACGACGCAGTTTCTGGAATGGTGAGTAAATGGAAAAAAAAAAGTGAACGGGAGAGATATTCCCGTAGAAACTAACCGGCGGCAGGGAATATCGATCACGAGCCTGGGCTTCGTAACAACAACGAAATGTGCGTAACCGTGGTGCTCGCCGCGAGTACCTCCATGCACGTTTATCGTCCCGCTTCATGGACCGACGCCGCTGACAACAACACAGCAACCCCCCCCCCCGGATCCACGGCCCGCAATGGCGCGTTTCTTTTAATCATAATAAAGATTCCCACTTTGAAGTTGCTGTTGGTTGTTGTTGTTGTTGTTTCACGATCGACGGCGCCTAAGGTGACGCGAACCCACGACTCTCACCAACTGTCAAATCCGGAAAAATCGGACCTACCTCGCCCACACCGCTAATCGCCCAATCGCAGTCTAATTTCTTGCACCACAACGATCCCCACATCCTCCGACCTACGACCCACGCAGCCGTCCAATCGTGGCCTGTATATCACCCCATGTGATCGCCGATTTCCGATCCGTCAGTGGCAAAACTGTCCAAACGTGAGCACGGTTTGGGCGTCTTTAAAACTATGGGACCCGTGACCATCAGTCACAACGTCGGCTTGAATCTCACACGTTCGCCACTTGACTCAAACGCCGACCTACGACCCGAGCAAACCGTCCAATCGTAGCACAGCTCACATGCCACAAGATCTCCATGTTGCTAAAACTCCCGACCTACGACCCCGGCAAACCGTGCAATTGCCGCATCGACAAAAGAATCTACGGCGGACGAAGACGGAAGAAGAATAAAAAACGCGTTACAAAAATAAAAAACGAAAACCAAACGTTGGAATGTTGAAGACCTGCTCCTGTTTCACAGCCTCTGCCTCTCTCTCCTCACCGACATCTACCCCTCCAATCTCATCCTCGTCGTCTGTCCAATCCGTCCCCCTTGGGCGCCGTCACATGTCCCCGTCGTCCATGCTGAAGCTGGAGCGCCGGCTGCTGGTCTTTGACGTCGCGCCGGGCGAGAGGGCGCACAGCAGGGGGTCGCGCGGCCCCAGCGGGCTCATCAGCTCGTCCATCAGAACATCGCCGCCGCCGCCGCCGCCCATGCCGCCGTCTCCGCCGTCTCCGCCGAAGCTGAGCGCCGGCGAGAAGGCGCCGCCGGAGGAGAAACCGCAAACGCTGTCCAGGTCCAGGCCGCCCGCGTCAGACGAGGCCCGAGACGGCGGTTGGTTGTGCCGGCCGAGGTCGAAGGCGGCGGAGCCGGCGGAGACGTCGCCGGTGATGCCGACTTGCGCCATGAGCTCGGCCGTGTTGAGGCCGGAGGGGGAGGACAGCGGCAGGCCGTGAGTACTCGCCTGCAGCTCCAGCTCCTGCCGGCCGGAGTGGGGGGGCGGGGAGGGGGGCGGTGGAGGGTGGGGAGACGCGGCGTTGGCGTCAGAGAGGTCGCAACGACCTCGCCGAGTCGAGCTCCGGCTCCACGCAACCGCTAGCCAACGGCGGGCACGGCGTGGCAGGGTGCGGGCGCGGCGTGGCAGGGCGCGGGCACCGCGTGGGCAGGGTGCGGGCGCGGCGTGGCAGGGTGCGGGCACCTGTATACGCAGCAGCAGTCCCCGGTTGGTCTGCTCCAGTTTCTTCTGCCTCGAGTCGGCCTCCCGCAGCCTCTGCTGCTCCTTCTGCAGCTTGCGGATGTAGTCTACGGACGCCTTCAAGATGGTGCCCTTGTTCCAGCGCATGTCCCTGCGGGCGGACACGCCGGGCACACGGTCAATACATTTCAGGGTTACAGTGACGATTTTCAACACGATGGTTAATGAATAAGACGGTGATTTACAACAGTGAGAGATGAAGATCACGATCACAATATTTATTTACACTGGAGGAATGCGATAAGCTACGAAGCTCTTTTTCACAGACAGTAAGGGCACACGGGGTCAGAACATTTAAATAGCGAACAATTCAAAAACACGATAGGAGTTCAAAGTATGGGAAAGCTAAACAAATCACTTTAAAAAAAATATCCAACCCAGGTTGTACCGTGTTGACGCAAGTGCGTGGCTCAGCCTGTAGAGCCACCCGTTCCTCGGGACGCTTTCCCACATGCGCGTAGCTCGCCCTAACTCGGCCTAACCCACCCCCCTCTCCTCCCCCCCCTCACCGCCCCACCGCCTGCGTCTCCCCTCCCCCCGTCCCCCTCAGGACCCCCGTTGTTTGCGAGCGCACGCTCGGGAGGTGCTTGCCGATGAGGGGTGGGAGCACTCACGGATCGTTCGACTTGGGAATCATCAGGCCAAGCTCCTTGATGCGGTCGTTGATGTTGAACCTCCTCCTCCGCTCGACTGCGGCAGAAGAAGCACGAAGGCAACACGATGTCAGGGGACGAACGAGCTTCATGGCGATGATGATGGCGATGTTGATGATGGCAATGATGATGATGGCGACGACGATGATGATGGCGACGATGATGATGGCAATTATTATAATGGCGTAGATGATTATGATTTCATAGCTTGATAGTTCAAGTAATGAATGCGTTGAGAATGATCTTGACTACTTTGAGTATTTCACTAATAATAATGATATTTAAGATTTTAGTAAATTTACTGCTGGATGAAAGCCTCCCCACACATTTGAAACAATCCTCATGAACCAATCGACTTTCACGATGATGATGACGAAGATGATGCTGATCATTTCCACGGCGTGATGGTTAAAGTGATGATGTGATATTTTTAATTAAATACCATGTCAATTACTGAACTATTTTATTTATCTTACTAGGTAAAGCCCACTGAGCGATTCGTTTCTTTTTCAGAAACAACATGGCCACAAATGATAGCTCAACGAAGTGGCTTATCATGCGTAAATGCATAGCAGCATAAAACATCGAAATAACCTAAAACACAAGTTTATGAATGCGAAGGGAAAAATAGGAGGACCCGGACAAAAATTCCACGCGACCACGGTGAGAGAACACGCAAACTCTAAATAGACAACAGGTGTCACAGGGTCAGGATAGAACCCCGAACCTCCGGCGGGGGAGTTAACATTAACATTCCACCACCGAGGGGGTGGGTGGCCAGCACCAAGCCCGGCCGCCTTTGTCTCCCCGGTGGCGATGTTTTTACGCACTGCGCCAGGTACTCATTTGAGGCTGAGTCGACCTAGGCGAGGCCCAGAACCGGTTCAGATAATCGTCACTGGTGTCGGCCTTGAGCGTGAATCGAACCCGGGTCGCCAGCTTCGTAGCGCAGTGTGCTAACCGCTACACTACCGTTCCCCACACACACGCGCACACACACACACACACACGCGGGAGTGCGCGCGTAGAGCGGGAGCAGGCACTCACTGAGGTTGTGGTTGTCTTTCTTCTGCCTCTCCTTCACCAGGACACGATGCTCATCTTCTGTGCAAAAGACATGCGTGTCCATTAGCGGTATCGGAGCGACGCAGACCAGGAGGGAGGCCGGTGTCGCTGTCGCCGCGATCCTAGGTTCACGTCCGGGGCGGGGGGGTTCAGCCGCCCCCAAACCGCGACTTAAACCCCCGAGAGAGCGTTCAACCGCGGCGAGCCGGTGGTCTCGGCCCCATCACCGGCGACTTGCACAGAGACCCATAAATTCAGAGACTCGCACAAACTCACACAGACTCGGACTCGCAGAGTCCCATAAGCTCACAGAGACTCCCTGACTCAGAGACCCAAAGACTCACACAGAGACCCATAGACTCACATACAGACTCATGCACTCACACCGAAACGCTCAGACTCACACAGAGATCCACAGAATCACAGTGACCCATAGACACACACAGGGACCCAAGTGGTTCCAACCAAAACGCGATATTTATACAAAAAACAAAAAAGGCAAGACGCTCTTACCCACAACCTCCAGCTTGACGGGCGCCAGGTTGGCAGGACAGCTGGTGCTGGTCAGCGTGATGCCCGGGATCACCACCCCGGTGCTCCCATACACCTCCAGCCCGTTGCTTTGAACCGGCAGCTGCGACGCATACACGAACACAAAATCAACCAGGCACACGCATTAGAGCACGGGCTGAAATACCGATCACTCGAGTAACAGACTCCTCTAGCGGCTTGCAGTTCCCATTATTCGACCAATCGCTCCCACATCGTGCCCCGCAGGACAGGAGGTGATGGGCGGGGGCTTGTAGGGTTGGGTTCCCGAATAACCGACCGCTAAAAAAGAGATTCGTCCCTCGTAACTTAAGATCGACCAAGTCCGGCGACGTCGTCCCAGCTCCTCACATGCGCGCACTGCGCAACGCTTTTGCTATCAACCCTGCGCGTGGCTGTGCAAGCGTTTCGTTGGCAGAGCGGAAGTGGATGGGATACGGGTGGGCCCGTGTGCACGCCTCCATAATTGCGACTCCTTCCCCTTCGCCCCTCCCCACCCCCCCACCTTTGCTCTGGGTTGTGTCTCCAAAGCTTGGGTCATCGCTTTGGGCAAAGAGGGTACGCGGTTAAAGTCCCCAGCAGCAACGCGGCCTTGCGGCGGTCCTCTCCAAGCGTCCGACGTTGTGACGTTGCAAGGCGTGTGGACGCGCTACGACGTTGCGGGGCCACGGCGTCAGGGAGGGCACTGCCGGGCGGAGGCGGAGATTGGAGCGGAGGTGCCTCGCTTCCCCTTCTGGAAATGTTTTTTTTTTGTCTCCAGGTTTTTTGGGGGAGAATTATTTGGATCAATTTGCCCGGTGTTTCTCCAGGGGTGAGTCGTCCCCCCCACAATAGCAACGCAACGTCACACTGGAGCTCCCTTGGTCTCGGATCAACGCCACGAGCGTTACCGTGGCCCCCACGTGACACACGGGCAGAGCTAATTCATTCATCCTGAGATCAACGTGGCCAGGTTTGCCCAAGCTGAGTCCCCCCCAATAGCAAACAACATTGTGCATTAAACGTTTCGCTCGTATCAGACCATCTCTACGAGAGTTACCGTGACTCCCACGACATGCAACGGACGCACAGAGCCGGGTCAACGTGTCCGGTTCTCTCCAGGCCGTGTCGCCAACGGCAACGCAACACCGCACTCGGATTACGTCCTCGGCGGACCGCCTCTACCAGAGTGCCCTCCTCCCCGGTACCGACAGACGTGACGAACGCACGCACGGACTCGCAGAGCCGACGCGACTCCGCCGCGCTGCTCACCGTGTTGGAGAGCGGGAGGCCGGAGGCGTCGACGAGGCTGAACATCTCGTCGTTAAAGCTCGACTCCAGGCTGATGATGTCATCGATGACGTCTTCCATCTGTGCCGCGACGCGGCGGGAGACACGCGCGGGCGCGCATCGTTTAGTTTACGAGCGGGGGCGGGGGTGGGGGCGAGGGGGGGGGCGATCGCATGACCCCCGTTTCGGATTCACCGTGCCTCGTGGCGCCCTTAATTTAACCACGTGATAAGCCCGACGACGTTCATCGACGAGCGTGATTCGCGTGCTTTATTTCAACCGGGGAAGAACCCGCTGAGGTCCACTGTACTCCGCTGCCCTTTATTTTAGCCGTGAGAGAGCGCGGTGAGACGTCGTATCGCGACTGACGTCCATTACAATCACGCAGGTGAGCGACCACCGAGATTCGTTGTGCCTCGTAATGTCCTTCATTTAGCCACATGAGAGCCTATTGCGATTCGCAGTCTCTTGCGATTGACATCCGTTATTTAACCAGATGACAGCCTACTGAGATTGACGCTCGAATCTTTTTTTTTTCTATGCAACCAATTAAGACCCGCGATGAGATCCACTACGCTTTGAACGGGCTTCACTTAAGCAGGCGAAAGCCCACGAGGGATTCATTACGTCCCACGTTCGATGCCCTTCGTTTGGCCATGTCAGAGCCCATTGATACACACCCTTAGGAAGCCACTGTGCAGCTGTGCACTCTGCTTTATGTGTGTTAGTTTACTGTCCTTCCCCCGCACCTCCAATTAGCACGGCTGGCGACGTACGGTGCGAAAGAAGTTCAACATGCATACACTACAATACACACTACGTACTACAATATAAACTACACTATGACACCACACTGCACAACTTTATACTTACACCACTATACTGAATAGGAAATTAATTTCTTCTGAACATTTTTTTGTGTTTAGTTTGTTGTCCTTCCCCCGCATCTCCGATTAGCACGGTTGGCGACGTACGGTGCGAAAGAGGTTCAACATACATATATACATTTGCTCCAGCAATAAGACAACCTCTGTGATTTTGACAGAACTTTGTGTTAACTCACACCTTCTCCTTGCGTACGCCCGACGTTGATGTTAGACCAACAACTTTAATTTGACATTGAGGCGACTGATGGGCCATGCAGGCGATTGCCAGTGAGGAGTAGCGGAGTGGTGAATCATCACTGCAATGATCGTGATGATGCCTCCATCGTGTTTGTGAATCGGGCATTGAGTCGTCGTTATCCGTCCCACCGAGTCGTCCTCATCTGCCCCATGGTTTCGTGCTGGGTGGTGACCACAGTCTCCGCACACTGACCATTTTGTCCATCATCACCATCATCATCCATTATCCACATCTGCTGCTACCATGGTTGGTGCGGCAGATGAGGTTTAGAGGGCGTGGCCCAGAAGCTTTGCGGCAAATGGAAGCCGGGGATCTGCGTCATCTGGTCTTTCGCGAGATGAACTCACACGGGCGACTATACATACCCCCTTCGTCATCAGTGTGACAAAAGCTTCAAAATATATATTATGTTAATAAAAATAGAAAACCTGAAAAGAGCCGACGTTTGTGCGGTGTTGGGGACCAGGTTACACACCCTGGCCAAAGCAAACTGACGTCAACCTGGGTGACTGAAACACGTTAAACACAAGTCCACCTTGCAGGTGCTCGCTCACACCACTGCCGGCTAAAGGGTCTCCAACCACTCAGAGAGCGAGAGAGAGAGGTGCAGAGAGTGAATGTGAGAGAGAGTGAGAGAGTGAGAGACAGAGAGTGAGAGAGTGAGAGAGTGAGAGAGTGAGTAAGAGAGTGAGAGAGTTAGAGAGTGAGAGTTAGAGAGTGAGAAAGAGAGGTCCAGAGAGTGAGAGAATTAGAGAGAGTGAGAGAGAGAGTGAGAGAGAGTGAGAGTGAGTGAGAAAGAGAGGTCCAGAGAGTGAGAGAGTGAGAGAGTGAGAGAGGTCCAGAGAGTGAGAGAGAGAGTGAGAGAGGTCCAGAGAGTGAGAGAGAGAATGAGAGAGTGAGAGAGAGAATGAGGAGTGAGAGAGAGAGTGAGAGAGTGAGAGGTCCAGAGAGTGAGAGAGTGAGAGGTCCAGAGAGCGAGAGAGAGGTCCAGAGAGTGAGAGTGAGAGAGAATGAGAGAGTGAGAGAGTGAGAGAGTGAGAAAGTGAGAGAGAGAGTGAGAGAGATAGTGAGAGAGTGAGAGAGAGTGAGATAGTGAGAGAGTGAGAGAGAGATAGTGAGAGAGAGTGAGAGGTCCAGAGAGTGAGAGAGAGTGAGAGAGAGAGAGTGAGAGAGTGAGAGGTCCAGAGAGTGAGAGAGGGAGTGAGAGAGAGTGAGAGGTCCAGAGAGTGAGAGAGAGAGTGAGAGAGTGAGTGAGTGAGCGAGAGAGTGAGAGAGAGTGAGAGAGTGAGAGAGTGAGAGAGTGAGAGAGAGTGAGAGAGTGAGAGAGTGAGAGAGAGAGAGTGAAAGGCACGGCCTCTGTGGCAGCGGCGGCTTCTTCTCCACACCACGCTGCACCACGGTCAGGGCGGTGACGCGGCCGAGTGGTGACATATTTGTCGAGGTTCGCGGTTAGAATCCCACGGCCGCCATGGTTAACACAGCGGCTGCATCAATCGTATACAAAAAAATAACAAAAAGTAAACGCAATACACGCCGTCCGTTTCGCAATGGACAGTAATGATCGTGTGATGCCATTGGTAAAGATGAGGGCACGAATGCCGGAGGTCACGACCCAAATTTGCCAAACTCACAATCCTGGTGAGATGTTAACTCCCTCGCCTGGTATGCAGGAGGTCGTGGGTTCGATCCCAACCGTGACGCCTGCTGTTGTATATTTGGAGTTTGCGTGTTCTCCCCGTGGTGGAATGGATTTTTCTCCAGGTCCTCTGGTTTCTCCCTCACCAATTAGAATCAACATCACGCGTTTGGAGGATTTGGCTGGTGTAAATTTCCACAGGATAAATCATTTCGTTGAGCTATCATTTGTGGCCAGCTATTATAGCTTAATGCGCCTTACACGGTAAAACAAAAAAAGTTTTTTTTGTTAGAATTTGGACCGTGACGCTGGTACAGATCACTCGCAAATTCCTGCGCTGGGGAAAAGCGCAGCGATTGTCGCCACCTACTGCGAAAACTTAGCAGCACCCCCACTGACAAACAGTGTTGAGACGCGGCGATGCTTTCCTGGGTAAAGCGAGTGAGATGCTGCGGTAGCCTACAGCTGAAACGAAGCGGCCACAGTAGGGGTAATGGGTCAGCGTGCTGGACAATCCAGAAGCTGCGTGGGTTTAAATTTGATCACTCGGAGAGGCAGTTGAATCAATGGGGCAGCGGTACAAACAAATGGTCGGCAGGTCGTGCGCGGTGGCTTAAGATGCGTGTGCTCCCACGTCTTCCAAGACGTCTCTGTGTCCATGTGGAAGAGCAGGCCAACTACCACTCTACGGCTCGCTCCAGTGGGGGAACCTTCCTCCCAGCTAAGTGGCGTGAGCGAGCAAATTACAGCAGGTAAAAACCATAAAGACAAAGATCCCCCCACACACTTACAGTCTTTCATAGACTGTCGGGGAAGAGTGCTCTCAACGAGCAAGTATCAGCCGGCAAAACAAACGCACGAATGTGTACACGCACAGGTGTACACGCACGCGTGTAAACGCACACGCGCACACGCACGAGCACGCACCTCCCTCTCGCTGCTCTCGTTGTTGTTGATGTTGAGCAGGGCCATGGGGCTGTTGAGGCCGGAGCCGCTGCCCGGCAGCAGCACGGCGGAGCCGTGAGGCGACACGGACTGCGTTTGCGCCGCCGCCGACATCGCCCCCGCCGTCGGGGCCGTCGTGGCGAACTGCTGCTGCTGCTGCTGCCCGGGGGAGACGTGAGCGCCGGCAGTGCCGGCGGCGGCGCCGGTCATGTTAGGAGCGGAGCCCGCCGACGGGCGGGAAATGGCCAGCACCTGGTGCGCGACCTTGGTGCCCAGCGTCGTGGTCAGGTACTGCTTGACCTGCGCACGGGGGCGAGGGACAGGGAGCGCGCGTCGCGACATTGGGAAGGGGCGAGGCATGGGCAGCGCGGGCTGGCGCCGCCGCTGTGGACTACGCGGGCCGTTACCGCTGTAGATTCCCGCAGATTCGACTCGCACCGCCGCGGATTCCGCAGATTCGCCGCAGCGGAGATTCCCCACACTCCCCTGAGTGAGCGGCGGGGCGGCCGCTGTGCCAAGCCGTGAGCGAGCGAGCGAGCGAGCGAGCGAGCTTAGGACGGGACTCAACCACCCTCACCTGCTGGTGCTGAGACTGCTGGATGTGGTACTTGGTCGGATTCTCCAGGTTCGTCTGGACCTGGTGACAACGGAAACAACGGGAGAAAGCCAACGAGGGTCATCGCCTAGCCTCGGTACGTCCCACGTTCACCACGGTTCTCTCTTGTGGAAGAATTTGACCGGGACATCCCCCGTGGTTTCAGGAAGTCTGTCCCGGTGTCCTCCACCCCGCACCCCCCCCCCTCACCAAAAGCATGTTTTAAATCATTACGGGCAATAATCCTGTGACCAATGCAGCCAGGGTAATTCGCAAACAGCAACACAACTTCACACTAAAACTTTCGTCCGTACTGGATTCATCTTTACGAGAGTTATCGTGAAGTCCCCTCCGCTGCGGACGGACGTACGTACGTACAGACAGCGCTGACGAATCATTCGCTCTCAGCTCTAGTTTGGAGAACGCCCGCAAGGGAAGCGGAGCGTAGACCCCTCCACTACGGACGCACGTACAGACGGACGTACAGACGCACGTACAGACGGACGGACGGCGCTGACGAATCATTCGCTCTTAACTCCAGTTGGGAGAACGTCCGCGACGGAAGCGGAGCGACGACCCACCTTGAGCACCTGCACTGGCACCTGCGCCTTGGGCAGGCCGGCCGGCACCTGCACGTTGATGGCCGGCGTCTGCGCGCTGGGCCGCTGCTGGCCGGGCAAGAACGTCGCATTCTGCTGCTGCTGCTGCTGCTGTTGCTGCTGGGTCCTTCGCTCCTCCTCGCACAGCTGGTCCTTCATCAGCTGCTGCCGCAGCAGGATTCGCGAGCCCATGTTGACTCGCGGAGTTGGCTGGCGTGGGGGGCAGGGGCGGGAGGGTTGGGGGGTTGCCGGGGTGTTGCCGCTGCCGCCGCCTCGTAAGGACCACCCCGCGATCCAACGGACGGGCGCCGGGGGCCGAGGGGGATGGGCGGCGGAGCTGGGGTCAGGCGGAAACCTGCGCCACGCATGCGGACCGACAGATGTCAACGTCATCATCAGCAACAGTGATGTCATCATCAATCGTCGTCGTCGTCGTCAGTGTTGTCTCCACTTGCTTCGTCATAATCATCATCATCACTGTTGTCATCACCACGACCACCATGATCACGAGTGTTAGTGTTATTGTCACCACCAACACCACCACCTTCCCCTTTTTTCACTCGCTCTTACAGTCTTATTATCATCATCAGCACCACCATCTATAACACCGCCTAAAATGGGAAATAAAATATACTGTACATGATAATAGGCGACGTTTTGGACGATGATCCTTCTTCCTGTGTGGTATGAAGAACGGCCATTGCCTGAAACGTCAGGCCCCTATATTATTACAGTAAGACTTGTTTAAAACTTATTTAAGATTTTAGATTCCTATATGTTGAATGTATGCACCATCCTGCCAAAGTAAATTCCGTGTCGGTGTGACCTTTCATGGCGAATAAAACCCTTTCTGATTCTGATTAAAAAAACCCTTTCTGATTCTTACATCTGGCTCAAGCTATTCGCATTGGTCGCTAACCTCTGGGTAAGAAAGACAACCCCCCCCCCTCCCCCATGTGTAGCCTTAACAAACTATTGGAGCAAGTGTTGTTAGCGAGTTGCACTCACGAAGGCCGGCACGGCACACTAGGTGATGGGTGCCCAGCACCACGCCCGGCCGTCATTGTCTCGCCGGTGCGATATTGACACATCGTTGACACATCGCACCAGAGTCCACGTAGGAAAGGCCCAGGACCAGTCCAGATAATCGTCACTGGTGTCGATGGCTCTGAGCTGGAATTAAACCTGGGTCGCCGGGTTTGTAGCGCAGCGCGGTAAACGCCCAAGAAGGCCGGAAAGAGACACGAGGGGGTGGTCATCACCACACCCGGCCGTCTTTGTTTCCCTGGTGCTGTTTACACACCGCATTGGGTACTCATTTCAGGCCGAGTAGACCTAGGAGAGGGGCCCTGGACTGGCTCAAATATATTCACCATATCAGTTTCTCCCGTAACTTTGTATTTAGCGAGTGTATTTTGCATCGTTTTTTGAGCTCAGCTCAGGTTCCGAGCTTTGAGCGCGATTAAAAATCACTTTACACCTTCTTCAACCGCGCTTCACTCAGCGTGTGCCCGCCGCTAACGGCGAGCCTTTCTAATCCGCTATGTATTTCTAATCCGCCGTGTAACGCGTAAGAGCGGACAAATAAGACTTTATTATACAGGTATTTACTTGACGTGATTTACATGAACTAGGAAACAGACAGACATCGTGTAACCACGAAATTAGCCGGGTGGATTGTTACCATCGCAGGAGAGATGATGGCGGCTTAGGAAGGCCTTCATCCAGCAGTGGATTGCCCATGGCCGATAATGCTGGTGGTGATTTGGGGTTGTTGTTAATATCTCGTACGACTCAAGACCGTATGGCTTCGTGGAAAACCGTGAATGCAGACTCTGAAGATTTATTCAATGAATAACGGAACTGTATTTCCGTAGAGGCGGCAAAGTACCGGCAACTCCACTTCCTAGAATTGACCGACAAGAGGTCCGAGTTAGAGCAAAAAAATCTCATCACGTGCGGCTAAGCGCACACGAGTTTGTGTGCGTGGGCAGTTTCACTCTCACACACAAAGATAAAGACAAAGATCCCCCGTATAGCCTTAACAGACTGTAGGGGCAAGTGCTGTTAGCGAGCACCTATGAAGGCCGGAACGGTACACGAGGTGGTGGGTGGCCAGCACCACGCCCGACCGACTTTGTCTCCCTAGTGGCGATGTTTACACACCGCACCAGGTACTCATTTGAGGCTGAGTCGACCTAGGGGAGGCCCGGGACCGGTTCAGATAATCGTCACTGGTGTTGGCCGTGAGCGGGAATCGAACCCGGGTCGCCAGGTTCATAGCGCAGCGCGCTAACCGCTACACTATCGCTCCCCACTCACACACACACACTCATACACCCACAGACAAAGATCCCCCATATAGCCTTGAGAAGACTATGGGGGCAAGTGCTGTTAAGCGAGCACCAATGAAAGGCTGACACGGCACACGAGGGGGTGGGTGGCCAGTACCATGCTCAGCTGCCTTTGTCTCCAAAGTGGCGATGTTTACACACCGCACCAGGTAATTATTTGAGGCCTAGTCGACCTAGGGGAGGCACAGGACCGGTTCATATAATTGTCGCCGGTGTTGGCCATCATAAGAAGAGAATCAAACTCAGGTCGCTGGGTTTCGTAGCGCTAACCACTGAGCCACCGCCCCCCCCCACCCACACGAATCGCCACACTCGCACACAACCATCACACCCACACACAGCAGGGCAGGAGCAACGCTAGGCATCCCACCAGGCTCATGGAGCGAGCGAGCACACAAACACTGGGCTGCATTGTGACCGCACCGTGCATTCTCTACGCCCCCCCCCCCCCAAGCAACAGAGAGTTGGGTTTAAAAATAAATAAATACCCCGTGCGAGCGTTATTGCAAAACTCCGCCACAGCAGGCATGGCCATCGACAAATTTCTTCGCTCGGCGGCCTCTCGTGCAACTCGCGTTCAGTTGGCGTCCAAGAAGACTCTCCCCCTCCCTTCTCATCCGCCCCCACTGAGCGTGGCCACCGGCCGCTTTAACCGCGCAGCGCTGGGCCTCTCACGGATGCGGTTAAATTGGAACGCAGAGACGCGCGGAGGCGCGGACCGGAAACAAGACCTGAGAATGCACGTCGAGCACAGACGACGTGACGGCACGGGCCGAGTGCATGCAGATTCACACCACGGGAGATTCACGGTAGATTCAACGGCATCACTACTGTACAGTATTCCCTTGTATTATTCACGAACTTGCCCTCCGCGAATTGCATCGGGAAGTCTACATGACTGCATCGAGAGATTTACATTATGAGACCTCCTTTGCCAGCAACAAGATATAGAAAATAGGTTTTACCCTTTTAACTGGCACAAAAACTGACACCTTTATTCAAGGCATCATGTTTGCAATAACCACAACACAAGCAGTCAAAATGCAAACAAAAAAGAGAACTCTGATAATAATATGCACTGTCCTTGAATTTGATTGGTTCACACCCGAGACGGCTTTTCTTAGAGCCTAGTCTCCACTGCTTGTGTTGTGGTTAATGCAAACATGATGCCTTGAATAAAGGTGTCAGTTTTTGTGCCAGTTAAAAGGGTAAAACCTATTTCTATATCTGCATCGAGAGAGCGAGAGAAAAGATGAAAAAGCGATGAGAGATAAAGCGATGAGAGATAAAGTGATCAGATAAAGTGATCTGAGAAAATGCTGATACAATTATCATGTACTGTATTTATTTAACAGAATTAATTAAAAACGAGAGGTTTTCATAGGCCAATATCGTTAGCCGTGAAATTTGCTATTCACGAGCATCTCCGGGAACGTATTCCTCATCGCGAATAATCAGGGTCACTATCTCATCACTATCTCTCCTCACGTTACCTCTAATCACTTTACCACTTTCTTTCTTTTTCTCTCTCTCGGTGCAATCATTTAGAGTCCCAGATGCGATTCGTGGACAGCCAAAATAGCAGAGAGCAAGTTCGTGAATAAGAAGGGAATACTGTACAGCAGTGATTCCACGGTTACTAGTAGTCATACCATTGTCACTAGAAGTGATACCATTTTCACTAGTAGTGACACCACTCCTTTGTCAAGGCGCTTTGTTTCTTCTCACACAGCTTAAAGGTCGCGATCTGAGCGTGGCTTTTTCGCTCCAGTGCTGTCCTACCAGACAGTCTCGTCCCTTCACCTGATGAAGGCCGCTTGTGTTGTGGCCGAAACGTCGTGAGAATTTTATTGTGTTATTTTATTTTATCAATTTATTATTTTATTCTCATTCTACGCGGTGACTTTACTGAAAGAACCAAAGAAGTGACACCACTGTCACTTAAGAGTGATATTGTCGTGCCGAGCACGTGTGCAATTGAGCTCACGTCCCCGTCACATGTCACAAAACCCGCAGCGTGTTTCCCTCCCCAAAGCCCTCCCCCCAGGTTTTTACAAGCACCCGTTTCACAAGTGCCCCCACTTCCTTTCGCTGTCGATACCTCTTCACAGGCGGTGGGTGAAAGCGAGCGAGCGGCGGCGCAGCGGTTAGCGCACCGGCCCGGGCACCTGCCGAGCTGAGTTCGATTCTGCCGCGGCCAACACCAGCGGCGAGCGACGTCTGAACCGGCGCCCGAGCCCCGCGCTCTTCACTAACCGGCAACGACCGGCGTGGTGAATTATGGTCAAACGATTGGCAATTTATTCTAACCGCACTGCGCACTTTAATGACGTTAAGGTGCAGCCCGGCAACTGCTTGCTCATCCCACAGCTGAAGGAAGGGCCCCCCCCCGAAGGAGGTCGCTTTTAGGGAGCCTCTCCGGAGGGTTCATTTGGCCTACTCTTCCATCCTGGTCAGACCGTCCTGGAAGAATCAGAATCTTTATTTATCCTGGAGAAATCCGATGAGCTATGAAGCTCTTTTTTCCCCCTCAGAATGTCCAGTAGGGGTGGGAAGAGGTGGGAGCACCCACACTTGACCCCCACCGCTCGCGAACCCACCGGTCGACTTAGCCGCGGTGAACCTTGTTACACCGCTCGCTGGACAGAGACGGCGGTAGGGTGGGGGGGAGTGGGGGGCGAGGGAGTTAAGAACCTTGCCCCATTGTTTCAACCGCCGTGCCAGGACATGGAATCGAACCGGTGACCTCTGGACCGCGGGTCCGGTGTTCCAACCATCACACGGCGGCAGTGGAGGCGGTAGAAGTCCTGACTTCAGAAAGTGGGTCGTGGCCCCTGCCGTTCATTGACTTGAGACCATGAGTCACTGAAGACGTCCATAACTTAGTCGGCCACGATTATTTCAGGTAAGGCCCTTTGAGCTGAGAATCTCCTTTTGAATGGTGAGCCGGACAAGCCGCATTGCATTGGGAAGGGCGGGTTTACAGGAGCTGGATAGAAAA